TCAAGCGAAAACCTTAAGAACATAAATTTTGGAATCCACCAAATCATAAAAAATTAAATTCATGAATTTTATTAATGAAAAGTAACAAAAAAAAAAAAAACACACAATGAGATAACCCTTTATTTACAAGGGTTTACATGAAAACCTAGTCTAATAGGACTAAAATTAAGGAAAACATAACTTAAACAGACGAATTAATTTGGCCTAGCGTGTCATGCCTAAGTTTTTATCTCTTCTATTATATAGTGACTATTTAACGAAAATTCTTGTTTTAACGAAAAAGTTATCGAAAATTCTTCTTTTAACGAAAAAGTTATACGGAAATAATTGTTTTAACAAAAAATCTTTTTTCACTGTTTAGGCTTCGTTTGGTGCTCATTTTCATCTCATTTGTAGAAATTTTTTGACCGTTGCACAGTGAACAATTCTTTTTTTATTCAAAATTTCTGACATTGACTTGACAAGAGTCTGTTACACTCTTTTATGCTTTACCAATTTTACCCATCACTCCAACTACCCAGTTTTCAAAAAATGCACCGTGATTTCATTGCCATCAAAGGGGCATAATTGGAAAACAAAAACAAAACCTGCAGCTAATACAAAAGTCATGAAACGGTGGGCCAGGATTGAAAAGACTGGAAAATGAATTCTCTCAAATTAAAATAGCTCCCAAACGAGGGCTTATTTTATTATTACTTCCATTAAATAGCCAAATCATTCTAAATATAAATAATATAAACTATTCACTTTTCAACTTCCAACCCATCAATTGAAGGGTCCAAGAAACACATGAAATATTTATTGGCTCATTTATTTATAGGCATAACTTATTGTGCTTCATCTTCCAACTTCCGATGTGGGATGGACTTTGGCTGTGTTACTGTGCAAGCAAGCAGGCTTCTCGAGTTCTCTCTGCGCCGTCGAGTGCTCTCTTCTTCTTTGAAATCTGGTGTGATTTTACATTACCTTGAGTGGTTGTTCTTGAGTGAACCAAGTTGCTAGAAGAAGAGAGATCTTATCTTTAGTGATATCAAAGGGTTTTCTGAGTGTCTACCTTTTATATCTTACCTTGGGGCTTGATCCAAGTTCTATTGTGGTTATTATTCAAGATTGATGCACTAATTCTTGAGGAATCAAACCTGTGGTCGTCAGCCATTATTAAAGCTACGGTTCCTTCTATTTTAAAGCTTCTTTAGTGGTAGGCTTTACAGATTAATGTACTTGCAATTTCAGTTTTCGATTGTCGTCGATTATTGCAGTTTTGTAATTATTGCTGTTTATTTCTCTTTTCGGTTTTGTCCAGTTTGTGTGCTGCTCACTTACATAGTTGTTAGTGTTCCATAATTTCAGATTCTTGATTATTATTTCAGATTCTGATGTTTTATGTTCAGTCATTTGAGCGCAGTTAATTATATTGATGTATCCTTCCAATTGATCATCGAATACTCTTTCTTTTTTAAGATGATCACCTTTGTAGGGTTATAATCTTTAAAAAAAATATGAAAACTTTCAGTTTATAAGGTGTTTGATGAAATGCTTTTATGGGTTGGATGTGTATCTATTTGACGTTCAATCCTCAAAATAGGTCGTTGTTTTTCTCGCTGGGCCTCCTACTGGTCATCTGACGGGCAGATCTTCTGTCTCAGTTTCTTGCTTGTGATACCCTATTGAAATATGAAGCACAGCAGGTTAATGAGCAACAACCTAATGATCAGAAAGTGAGAAATCATCAGCTGAAGCACGACAATGGAGGGTAAAAACGTCAACTGCAGAGGAGTCATGTTGGAGCTCACATTTTTTCATTTTCTGTTGCAAATTCTGTTGTATAGCCTTTCTCTTTCCAATTAGTTATTTTGTATAATGATTCTAGATTGTTCTTATTACCTGTATATATTGATGTGAGGACGGATGAATGTAAATAAGACAATTTCTTTATCTTCAATACAAATTTATCTGGCTTAAGTCCATCTTCCTTCTTCCATTTATATAGGAAGAGTCATTTCCATCTTTCTTCTTTTCTTTCTTATATGATATTAGAGCCAGGTTATGACAGACAATCAAAATGCCAATGTGGAAACAACAAATCAGAATGCACACACTGAGCAAAGTGCTAACATCAATCTAATGTCCAACGTCCATTCTAATGATCCCACCAATCCCAGCAGCCCTTACTATATTGGGGAGAATGATAACTCAGGTGCCATATTAGTTACTCATATACTCGATAACACCAACTACTATACCTGGGCGAGATCCATAAGGAGAGCACTTCGAATCAAAAACAANCGACAACACCAACTATTATGCTTGGGCAAGATCCATTATGAGAGCACTTCGAATTAAAATCAAACTTGGCTTCATTGATGGAAGCCTCAGTGAGCCAGCAGATGCAAGTAATTTTCTGATAGAGCATTGGCTACGTTGCAATGATATAGTGATCTCTTGGCTACAAAAAACATTATGTCAGTTGATATCAAGTCACGCACACTCTATGCAGACATCGCTCGAGAACTTTGGCTAGACTTGGAGCATCGGCTGGGACAGCAAAATGCCCTATGAATCTATGAGGTAAAGCAGTACATTGCTACTCTGATGCAAAACGATGATGTTATAAGTGTGTATTTTTCAAAGTACAAAACACTCATTGATGAATTGATGAACTATAAGTCCATTCCTAATTGCACTTGCGGGGGTTTTAGACCTGTCATTGAGAACCAACAGAAAGCCTGGGTGATGAGATTTTTAATAGGACTGAATGATTCATATAAGGCGATTAAGGCCCAAATCCTTTTAATCAAGCATTTTCCCACATTGAATGAAGTATACTCCATAATTCAACAAGAGGAGAAAATGAGACAAATCTCAATGGACACTTTCATCCATCCTCACATCAATATATACAGGTAATAAGAACAATCTAGAATCATTATACAAAATAACTAATTGGAAAGAGAAAGGCTATACAACAGAATTTGCAACAGAAAAGGAAAACATGTGAGCT